TAATCAAACCCAAACCGAATCGCACACAGATGTTTCCGAGCAGCTGGAAATACTGGGCAAGAAGCTGAACTTCAGCATGGTGCGCAACCCCTCGCATTTGGAGGTAAGCCGAAACACACGTCAAACTTTGAAATTTGATTCCCGATTTTATCATTCTCTGAGTCCCCGCTTTTCTTCCTTTTTTTAGGCTGCCAATCCTGTGGCCATGGGCAAAACACGTTCCAAACAGCAAACTCGAGGTGAGGGAGCCTTTAGCACTGGTAGTGGCCAGAGCCAGCCCTTTGGCCAACACGTGCTAAATGTAATCCTCCATGGCGATGCGGCATTCGCCGGCCAGGGAATTAACCAGGAGTGCCTAAATATGGCCTATGTGCCGCACTTTGAGGTTGGCGGCAGTCTGCACTTGATTGTCAACAATCAGGTGGGCTTCACCACGCCCGGCGATCGAGGACGGTCCACCGCCTACACCTCCGATCTGGCCAAGTCCATACAGGCCCCGGTGTTCCATGTGAATGGTGATGACCCCGAAGCCCTGGCCAGGATCACCAACCTGGCCTTCAGATATCAGAGGGAGTTCCGCAAGGACATCTTCATCGATCTAAATTGCTTCCGGAGGTGGGGCCACAACGAGTTGGATGACCCCACCTTCACCAATCCGTTGGTCTACAAGATTGTCCATCAGCGGCAGTCGGTACCGGACTTGTATGCCCAGCAATTGGCCCAGGAGCAGGTTCTCCCCGAGTCCAGGGCCAAGGAAATGAGGGATGAGTACATGAAGTATCTGGGTGAGGAGTTGGCCCTGGCACCTAGTTACCAGCCGCCACCAGCGTACTTTGAAAAGCAGTGGAAGGACCTGCAGTTGGCTCCATCCAAGGAGCTAACCTATTGGGACACTGGCTTGGATTACTCACTGCTGCATTACATTGGCCAGCAGAGCGTCACGGTCCCAGAAGATTTTGTAAGTTGGAATGTTTTTGATAACTTATCAATTGTCATCGTGAAACTCTAAGAACCATATTGATAACTTATTTAACTATATATAACTATTTCATATTTGACAACCAGAGAAATCAAAAATTCTTCATCTATATAAGAAGTTTCGTGTTTAAAAACACCTTAAATAACAGGATTTCAAAAACAGCAAATTGAAATGAACAATCCCTTGCAAACATTTTAATTGATTTGAATATAGTCTTACCAAGATAGTGTGAACTTTTCCTCATAAAAGCAACATATATATATGGTCCGGTTACTATGATAGTGTGTTAGAAATAATTTGCCCAATAATACCAGTTACTGTTCAAAGGCCGTTTTTTACCATAAAACCATTTTTAAGTTTTGTTGTTCAACCAACAAGCACACATTTCAATCTTGTCATATTTTTGAAAGTTAATTTTAAGCGAAATACTGTATCGCTTACAAATCAATATAATATCAATATTAATATCCTTGAAATTTGTATAAATATATTTTTAGTTCATAATTCTTAAAGACTATTTTCCTCACCTGCTAAAAACCCATGTCAACCCATGTCGTTATAAATTCATTATTCAAATAACAGGAAACGCTTTTGAAAAGAAGAGTTCCAAAAATACCAAAGAAATTATAGTATAAAACTAAAAAGGAATAAAAACCTGTACCTCTAGTTTATAATTTTGAAAAAATGTTTCCTTAATTCTAGAACATACATCCTCACCTGCTGAAAACGCATGTCAACGCTCGCCGGAAGAAGCTGGAGAACGGAGTTAAGATCGACTGGTCCACGGCGGAGGCCTTGGCCATCGGCAGCCTGATGTACCAGGGCCACAATGTGAGGATCAGTGGCGAGGACGTGGGCAGGGGAACCTTCTCGCATCGGCATGCCATGTTGGTGGATCAGCAGAACAATGAGATGTTCATTCCATTGAACAGCATGGAGGGCGGAAACGGCGGCAAACTGGAGCTTGCTCACAGCATTTTGTCGGAGGAGGCGGTCCTGGGATTCGAGTACGGCATGGCCATTGACAATCCCAACAATCTGATTATTTGGGAGGCGCAGTTCGGAGACTTCGCCAATGGAGCACAGATTATCATCGATACCTTTATTGTTTCGGGAGAGAGTAAGTGAGAGTGTTGAGATTGATTGGCTTTCATTATGCTAAAGTTAAAGGTAATCTTACTCAGCCAAATGGATGGAGTCGAATGCCTTGGTGATGCTTCTACCGCACGGATACGATGGTGCTGCATCGGAGCACAGTTCCTGTCGCATCGAGCGTTTCCTGCAGCTCTGTGACTCGAAGGAAACATCCGCCGATGGCGATTCCGTCAACGTGCACATTGTCAACCCCACCACCCCCGCCCAATACTATCACGTCCTGCGTCGCCAGCTGGCCAGGAACTTCCGCAAGCCACTGGTGGTGGTGGCCCCCAAAACACTGCTCCGCCTTCCTGCCGCCACATCCTCGCACGAGGACTTCCAGCCGGGCACGCTCTTCCACAATGTCCTGGGTGAGTTATGGACTCGGTTTATCTTCATGAGCATCGGGTTTGCTTTGGTTATGTTAAACATGATTTTTAGGGTCCAAGAAACCTATTTTCTGTCACCGCAAAAATATATTGTATATATCTCACAAATTCTGTATTAAGAATAATTGTTATTTTTATCTACGTCTGAGTAAACTGAGCCATATAAAGCTTTAACCCACAGAACTAGGGGTAATCTTTGTGATTCGTTTCTTACCCCTGCTTTTTAAAATAATAATACATTTAAAATGAAGTCTTAGTTAATTAAGGGCTTTTTGAAATCTGCCAAGCATTTAATTTTATTTTAATGATTTCACATTTTTTTTTGCGTGCCTTAAAAAACTTATGGTACAACTTAAAATGGAGTTATAGCACATTCCGTTTTATGCTTACGGCAATTATAATACTTTTCGTTTTTATAGCTTCAGTTAAACTAAGTCATTAAAACTACTACCTGTTTTAAGAAGTGCATACGTGTTAGTTATTTTAACAATTAAAAAAAAACATTAATAAAGTCTTTGCAATCACCTTCACCTTATCGTTTTTTAACGAATAATTCCGTTAATGTCCCATCGTCAGCATAAAGAGATAAAATTAGTATAGGTTTTTAGGCGTGTATATTTATTAAGGTTCAGTTTACCTTAAACTCCAGCTATTTTGTCACACTTTTTAAGCACGAACAAGTAAATGAAGTATCCTGGTTGTCTTAAAACTCGACTGCATTGTTTTTATGAACCCACTTTATTTATGCTTTCTTCATTAAATTACGCCCAACCACCGATAGGTGACACCACCGCGAAGCCGGAGCAGGTGCGCAAGGTCATCCTGTGCAGTGGCAAGCACTACTACAATCTGACGGAGGAGCGGGAGAAACGGCAAGCCTATGACACGGCCATCGTGCGCCTGGAGTCCCTTTGTCCTTTCCCTATCCAGGAGCTTCGGGCCCAGTTGGCCCAATATGGCAACGTGCAATGTAAGTTCACTTTCCGCCAGTAAACTTTGCCCACAAAGTTGGCCAGTACTGAAATGTCTATCGCTTACTTTTACACATAAAACTTAATTTAAAAGTATAACAATAAAAAAAAAATATTAAATTTTTTTTGTCTAAATTTTTTTGTTAATTTTAATATATTATATAGAGAAATATATATTTTAAGGCTTTCTTATTAAAACTAGTTTTTGGTTTTTAGTATTTCTTAATATTATCAAAAAGTTTTCAGTTTATTATTTAATACAAACAAAATGTATGAGCACTTATTTTCTGTCTACGTAAACACACTTTATTCCTAGATGATTTTACTTATTTCTACCCTGCTGTATTAACTTTTTTGAGGTCTTTCTATATAGAAATAGTTACTCAGTAGAAAACTATGACACGTTATTCACAAAACTGAATAATTACAAAAATATAAAATATGAAATTGAATATACAAAATTTTCAAGCCATATTTAATAACAATAATTTTTCTCCGTGCAGCTTTCGTTTGGAGCCAGGAAGAGCATCGTAATATGGGCGCTTGGACTTTTGTGCGGCCACGTTTTGAAAATTTAATTGGCCAACAGGTAAAAAGTCTGCCAGCCATAGGCGGCCTTTGAAAATGCTCTAGACACTTTTCACCACCCTACCGCTTTTCCGCCTTTCCCCGATTTTCCTCAGCTCCACTACTGCGGTCGCTGCGAGGCACCCACTCCCGCCACCGGAATCGGAAAAGTGCATAAACGGGAAGTTGATGAGATTGTTGCTGCCCCTTTTGAACTTTAGTGCGCCGCCGCCTCTCAGCCTTCCATATATCACAAAGCACTTTACCTCAATAAAACTGCCAAAAATATATGTGTAAAAAGCAAGAAAACAAGACTTTCAAATGCGAAGAGAAATTAAGTATACCCTTAATTTCCAATATTTTGAATTTATACTTTGAGAGAAATTAAAATGGTACAGAATTATTTAATTGTTTTAAAAAAATAAACAAGTTCCAATACAAAGTTTATTTAAGGACAGAAAACAAATAGTTTAAGACCTTGTAAAGCTTTATAAGAAAACTGGTTGATACGACAATAATTTGCGACTTATCAAACATTATTATTTAATCTTTGCAAATATTTTAAAACAATTTGTTTGATTATTTACATATAGGTAAATAAATCAGTCTGATAGTTTGGCAAAATTTGTTTTTGTATATATTGAATATTCTCTAATGCTTTTCTTTGTGTACTGAAAAATGCTCGACAAAAATGCGAAATGCCCTTAAAAGAGCCATAAAAACAAACAAAAATAAAAAAAGGAAGCTCCCCGCTTTACACGATAATTTATCGTATGGAAAAGCAGTTCGAAGAGGGGAAAACTTTAAGCGAAAAGTTTTTAATTGTTTGTTAGTGAACCAGCCTGGTCCTCCAATTGTGAACACAAGTACTTTTGCTCGCGGACTCGTAAAAATCATAATGCCCCAAATGCAAGGTCCAGGTAAAGACCAAATAAAGAAGGAGACGGTAATGCGAACTTAACCTACCGTAAATATTTATTATATGTTTATGAAACATTATACAGACTTTCATTTTAGAATTGTTTAAGCAGCGCAGTGACCTAACTTATAAAAGAAATTATAAAAAATATTTGGGGGTTAGGTCAGGCGAGGTTACTAGATAAGTTGATAAGATATGGTCTAAACTAAGGCCTACAAAAATATACATACATGGAGATAGAAGTGAGTTGAGCTGAAGGATGGAGTGTGTTTTTGGTGAGGATTACTACATATAAGGCGTTTCCAAGGACCAGCGGATCGAGAGAAGGTTTTCGGAAGAGAAACAACTAACTGCAGAAAGGAGTCGAATTGGTCAAAGTCTCATCATCACGCTTAAACTCTAGACGGCAGGACTCAAGTCTTATATGACCTGCCTGCCGTAGACTTGTTCTAGAATGTTATAAAAGTCGGTGGACGTCTTATATGCAAAGTGCAGAAGTCACATCCAGAAGACCATGGCCACACACACCGTCACCACCACAAAGGCGGCCTCCCGGCAATTCGCATTATCCCAGCCGCACTCCAGATCGAATTTGAGAGCCTACAATGAAGTTGTGTCTATTGAATTACATTCTATTGGTATACATTTAAATATATGCCGACCTCCATTAGCTGTTGGCCTCCTTTGTTTTCACAACGTGTCTCCCTTAGATCATCGTCATGATCGTCGCAGTTATGCCGTCCATACACCTGGCAAGGTGAATTCATAAATGTGCGGAAGACAGTGTCGGTCCAGGTTTGCGACGAGCAAATGTACTGGCGCCTCTTGCGCTGCCAGAATTCCACCCACCTAGGAAAATAAATAAAATTAAAATATTAACTTATAAGTAATAAATAGCAACAAAATATATTACATATGAGGGTGCAACAAAAATCTCTAGGGGTTTAAAATAATGGTGTTTTAAAGTATGCAACGAAAGCTTCAGAATTCTATGTTAATATATGTATAGAATTAAATATACATTGAAACTTCTGTATTGCAGAAATCACTAAAAAATTATGGAACCACTCTAAAATTATGGAATACAAAATAGAAACGATATCTTTCGTAATAAACTCATAAAATTTCAGAATTAAAAATGTATTGCATATTTTTAGACTCCTTTTTAAGTGATTTTAATAGCACCCCTTTATAACTTAAGTTTTCTGACTTTATTTGTAAGAAATCATTTTTTCCTAAATTTCCAAATTTATTCAAGATATGTCTTACTAATTCCTTTTAGGCTTACCCCAAATCGCAATCACAGTTAAGATCCGTGTGTGACATCTTCAAATCGGTAAGGAACACACTGTTTGGCAGATATGGAACAGCTCCCGTATTTGGGTTGGGAATTTTCTTCAGGTTGCGATTATTATAGCGAATGTCCAGAGAAATGTTCCGTACCCGACCCATATATTTAAAAAAGTTCGGAGGTAATGCTTGCATAGAGGTATTAAACAATTGCATGTACAAATATGGAGAGCGCATGCCCTGAAATATAATAAAATAAAGATTTATCTTTTATTTTAAAGAAATTAAGAACACGGCTCATCTTCTGAAAATTTAAAATTGTTGTTCTTCTTAAAATTAAATAATATTGTTATCATAAACGAGACAAAGGTCATATTTGTTAATGCTCTTAGTAACTAGTTAGCATTAAAATGAATAAGAAACAAAACAAATTTTTGAAAAATACTACTCACCCTTAGGATACGTTCGTTCAGATTACTGAATTGTGGGCCACTGAAGGTAATGTTGGTCAGCTTGGAAGGCAGATGGCCCTCCATCTCGCGCTGTAAATCGGTGGGATTGCCGAGCTGGAGGGTCTGCATCTCCTGGGTGGGTCCGGATCCCTTCTTCACGATCCTGGTGAAAGGCTGCGGGGCTTCGATCCACAGCTGACGGATATTATAGTGATGCCGGAGCAAATGGGGAATGTTGAAGTGCTCCAGGTGCGAATAGGCAGTGAGCTTCAGGGATCGCAGGTGGGGCAACGAATCCAGGCAGCCATACTCGAAATAGTGCAGCCGGAAGTTGGATATATCCAGCATTTCAAGATCCTCGTTCACGCCATCGAAACTGTTGTTATTCAGCGAGGTTATGGGATTGCCAGAGAGCATCAGTCGTCTGTTATAAAAAAATTTTTAAAAATTAGTTACAATTAATTAAAAATTTCAGTGTACCTACCTTAGGTGCGGCAGAGATTGGGTCATCAATGGAACGTTGGTCAGATCGTTGTTGGACAGATCCAACATCCTCAAATTACTCATGTTGTGTGCCAATTCCTGTGGAATCGATGGCAGTTCGTTGTAACCCAAGCGGAATTCACGCAAATACTTCAGCCGAATCTCGGGCACAGTACTCAATGAAACATTTTCCAGACCCAGTTTGATCAGCGAGTTTTCCAGACCCATAAAAGACTTGTCCATCACTTTGAGGTCCCGATTGTGGGAGAGATCCAAAACAGCCAGTTTGGGCATGGTGGCAAACACGGCATCATCGATCCTTAACAAGTAATTGTAAGATATGTCCAAGTAGCGAAGTGACTGTAGGAAATATATTATATATGTATTTAAAACTAATAGAAAATTAATAATTGGAGGGACTTACTCTGAACTTGTTGGACAAATCCATGCTGTGAATGGTTGAGATAAAGTTGTTGGACAAGTGCAATTCACAGAGCGTCAGAGCAGCCAAACTGGACAACGATGAGGAGGGGATTTTCAACATCATGTTGTGCGAAACATCCAATCTTTAAGAGTCATAAAAACATTTATTTTTTGTTAAAACTAGATTACTCCAAACTCACTTTTCCATTCCTCCGTTATAGAAAAGATTGTCGGGCAGGCCCCTCAGATGATTGTGCGAAAAGTCAACGATGCGCAAACCCTGAACAGGTTTGAATATATCCTGCGGAATATCACTCAGATAGTTGTGACCAAAATAGACCAATTGCAGCTGTCTAGTGTTCTTAAAAGCATCAAAGTCCAGCTCATGGATCCAATTGTAGCTTAGATCCAGCCATTGCAAATGGGGCATGTTTCCAAAAACATCACGAGTTGTGTTCTAAAAAGACAAACATTATAAAACCTGAGATACGTTTTTTGAAATTCCCACCATTAACGAATTGTAACCCAGATGCAAGTGTGTCAGTGAAATCTCAGCAGGTCGGAAGTATCCGGGATGAATAATGGATATATTGTTGTGGGAAAGATCCAATATCTTGATGTTCGAGTGGTACATTGTGCCTGAAAAATAATAGTAGAGGGATAGTGATTTAACAAACAAAACCACATCAATTTATAGTTTTATTCTATTTGCTTCAATATAGCTTATAGTATATGCTTCACAAATGTATAAAAAATGATTCCATACTATTTTGGTTTGCTATTTCCAAAAGTAATAAAATGGTAATGGCGACTCCTTACCATGTTCATTTCGACCGCTCCACGAGGAATTATACATCAGTTGTCTGATTTGATTGTGGCTGACATTCACATTCAGATTGGACAGCGTTCCCACTTGATCGAAGTAATCAAAGTTAAAGTTGGGCAACTGATTGAAGGCCATGTCCAGGATTTCCAATTTCGGCAGGTTCTGGAAGGACTCGTCCGCCAGGTTGTTCATCTTGTTGCCCCTCAAGCTCAGATACTCCAGTTCATCGAGATTCATGAAGGCTCTTCGCTCGATCTTGTCGATCTTATTGTCATCCAGTTGCAGTTTTCGCAGAGCTTCCAAATCGAAGAAGGTGTGCTGGGAAACGGAGGTCAGATGGTTGAAGCGCAATGATATCTCCTCCAGCTTCGAGTGGATATCCCCCTGGAAAGTGCCCTTCAGGACCTGTTCGATTCGATTGTCATGAAGTTCGAGAAGTCTCAGGTTCTTGAGGAAATGGAAACTGGTATCACTCATGCTGCTGATGTGATTGTTGCTGAAGTCCAGCTCCTGCAGGGAAGTCAGATGTCTGAGGGGCTCGGCTGGCAAGGCACTGCCCGAATAACCGTGGGACATCTTCAGCGAGATCAGAGAGTGGCCAATCTAAACAAAAAATTAAATATTATTAATAATGCAAGCAAAAGTATAAAACAAATTCCTGAAATACCTCATGAAAGGCATCATTCTCAATGTTGGATATACCATTCTCGCTAAAGTCCAGCCTCTTGAGTCCTCGCACATGCTTGAAGGCATGCGATTGAATGCCGGAGAGACTGGCCCGCGTGATCTGCAGATCCTCCAGCTCGACACCAAAGTCCTTGAAGTCCTCGGGTCCCACGGAGGAGGAGCCCAGCCGCGATATCGCCAGCGATCGCATGTTCCGCATTCTGGTCATACTTTACGTAAATAAATACAAGAATGGTTCTGGGGTGAAGGGTGTGTGGGGAGCAGGATATTTTTCTGAGTGCACTGGGGTCACTTACTTGCGCAGCGTCTGCAGATTGGTGGGGTCATTCCGATCCCCACTGAGGTCCAGTTTCAGAAGGGTATAGTGCACGGCATTGAAGGTTTCCGTGGGTTTCTGGATCTTGATCTTGTTGTCCCGCATGCTTATGACCCTGTAATTAAAATGGAAGTACAAAAATATTAGTTTACATAATTGGCGTAACTAAAAACTAACTAATAAAAACCAGGGACCTTTAAATAAAATTAATTATAGCTTAAAAAATCATAATTTAATGACTAAAGTCGGATTCTTTAAACACCGAATTTCGATTACAAAAAATGGTTTTTACTTTTTTAATCGTACCACAATACAAATCAAATTCCGATCACTTCCTAACTTAAATTTTCTTCAAAAAGCTAAGTTTATTCAACAAATCTAAACGATTACCAATAAGACCCAATTTTTAAATTTAAAATGCAAATTAATTAAATGAAACCCCTATAAACTTCCTATAAAGAAACCAAACCAAGTTTACTTTCAAGCTTTTCCCCCAGTGTAGTCTGTTTTGCATGAATGCCTGGTTGCGCGGCTTTTCCCCCTTTCTCGAATTCTTTTAAATAGGGTCACCCACTTAGCCCGCATAGAACTTAGGAACTGGAGAAGCCCTAGAGGCTGCCGGCAATCCGATTAGTTCCCCCCATGTGCGATGTGGAACAGGGGTAGAAAACACGAAGTGAAGTGAAAGCACTCGACTCACCTCAAGACATCGAAATTGTTGAAGAGCTTGTGATGCAGCTTGGTGAGATTGTTGCCTGACAAGTCCAGGATCTGCAGGCTGTTGACCAGGCTATCAAAGGCCACCGGTGAAATGTTCGTCAGACCGCAATACCGCATGTAGATCTCCCTTATCCGAGCTGGCTTAAAGGCGTCCTCCTGAAAATTAAAGGGCAACAAATAAGAAAGACAATGAAAATATGTTTTAAATATGTTTACACAATATATTGTGATCATCGATTGCTTGTAAAGATGTACAGAAGATGGTTGCTTAAGTGCATCGAGCTGGTGATGAGAACTGACTTCATTACGAAAACCCGAGGCGTAAGAAGTCACATCACGTATTAAATCAATCGATGGTCCCAATAAGTATTGCTTGAATTACGATCAGGACACCTACCCTCAGTGTGTGTATGGGATTACCATCGAAGAAGGTGCGATTGACGGTATCGAAGTATTTGAATGAATTTGGAGGCAGCACCTCGATGTGGTTGTACTCCAAGTGCAGATTGTCCAGATTCAGCTTGGTGCTGGCCTTGATTTCGTAGGTTTCGTTGCCACTGAGCGACCAGATCACATTGTGGGAGATGTCCAAGGTGCGCAGACTCTTCAGCGGACCCAAGGCATCGTAGGGGATCTCCGAGAGGATGTTGTCCGTGAGCAAAAGGCGAGTCAGTCGGGGCATGCCATCGACGAACACATTCGGGTCAATCTCGAAGAGGTTGTTGCCACTCAAATCGAGGGTCTCCAGGATCAGGAGGCCGGTGAAGCTGTGCGACTGCAGCTGCGAGATGCAGTTCTCGCGCAGGATCAGTGTCTGCAGCGAGTCCTCCAGTCCGCGGAACGAGTCATGCTGGATGTGCGTAATGTGGTTGTAGCCCAGGTCCAAGTGGCGCAGCTTCTGCAGGTGCCTCAGCGACTTGGAGGGGATCTCGACCAGGTCGTTCTGCGGCAGGATCAGCTCCCACAGCGATCGCTCCAGTCCGGTAAAGGCGTCGTCCGGGATCTCGGTGAGATGGTTGCCCGATACCTTCAGCCGGTACATGCCAGTGGACTGCAGAAAGTACGGCTCAATCTCCCGCAGACCAGTGTTCTCCATGTGCAGCATGAAAACCTGAACATAGAAATAGGAGCATGGAATAGTCAAAATTTATTTTATGTTTTTAAAAATTAAGTTCTACCTGGTTTTAGTTTTTAGTTTAATTAAATGTTTTTTCAATTTATAAATAAGGTTTTAAAATCACTTATAAAGCTGGGTAAAAGTACTGATAACATATTGTTTCATACTTACAGACAGCTTTAACTGATTTAAGTGTTGATGGACTCACCTTGGATTGGTTAACCATGCGAGGCAGTGCCGGAAACGGAACGTTCTTGCAATGCACTATCCCCAAATCTGTGGAGGACTTCGAGCAAGTGCACATCACGTTGTAGGTGCAGGGCGGGTAGTGTGTCTCCTCCATTTCACGGGCAAACATCGAGGCACGGGCCAGCGACATCCATATCATGATCATGAGGGTTATTGTCAAGAAGGCATAGCCGAACTTAAAGAAGAATTCTAGGCCCTACAGATAGAAAAAATATATATAGAACTCAGCTGGCGTAACAGTTTTCACTAACATTTCAAGGCATTAGCTATTAAACATTGGAACAGCTTAAGGATCTCTAAGATAAGCTGTATGTTTTTTTTTGTGATTTCATCGCCTTAAAATAAAACAGTGAACTTTACATTAATTTTGATAGCGACATAGCGAAGCAAAACATTTCCGATGAGGTAAGGATTTTATTTTAATATCCAGTTACAATAATTACAATCAAATCTAAGCCGTTTCGTATTCATCATTTTGAAGTTTAAATTAAATAAAATTAAAATAAATTCCAAAGTAAGAAATAATCATTTAAATTTCGAAAATTATAGTCCATATGGATTAGATAAATCCTTATTAAGATAATCGAAACTTCAGGACACGAAACTTTGCAGTTAAGTATTGGCTTCCCAAGTCTGTCAAGAATTTCTGATTTCTCGAAGAGAGTAAAGAACGCCCACAACGAGTTCTTTTGCAAGAGATTAACTGCCATGTCTGGAAAAGATTGTGGGAATAAGTTCAGGGGTGACTAGACCAAAGGGGTATCTTTGTTTCACAGGATTTAAGACCGGCTATGGTTTCCATTGGGCCGCAAGAGTTGTGCACTTCAAGGGCTACTCTCACAGATTATCGAATGTCCTTGTTGCCATTTAAATAGCTATCTTAATTCTTGATTTTGCAGGATATCAGACCACTTCGTTGACTAATACACACCATTTTGTTGTTAATTGGATTAGGCACTCGCGGTAATTGGCGTTTTAATGAACTTAATTAAATTTAACTGCTACAGATGCACAAAATCAATTTTCCCGAAACTCTTGATTTTCAGCTCCAAGTGTCTATCTAGTAAAATTCCTGTCCAGGACACTCGCGTAAAAACCCTCGTTTGAATTTGCGTCTGTTTTTAGAGGAGCAGTACTGGAAAAAACACGTCCGAACCGCTGCGCGTTCCACGCACGTCTGACAAAATGCAAATCAATCTGCAACGGGCCAAGTATTCAAGTATTGGCCAACTGGCGCAGCCGGCTAATTGGATTGCAATGGCGCCTTCTTTACCATTTTGCACACGCTCTTCTCGCCTCATTTTCAGCATTACTTTGCGACAAAACAACTGGCAAAATGTTTGCACATTCTGGCCTTTGTTTAGAATATGGGTAGCAAAAATACGGCGATAAAAGTGCGAGCAGGGCGGAAGCGGATTTCGGCCAGGTTTTCAAGATTTCCAATGCTCGTCAGCAGCCTCTGGGTCGGCTTAAAACTTGTAAGAATTCGTTTAACATGGTTTTTTGAGTGCACGGCTGGCTATTTTGGGGGTTTCGTGAAAACGCGTTGAAAAGCGTGTACAACAAGCTCAAACCATTAAATGAAATTGGGTAACAAAAAGACTATGAATTTATCAAGTAAAACAGTTTAAAGTTTAGTAGATAAGAATTAGAGCCAACGCCCAGAATTTAATTAAATATTAAATATAATAGCATGTTTTCGAATAATTTAACAAATTGCAGTTAACTCAAAATATTGGCAGTTTAGGGGCAATCAAGGCCTTCCTTTTAAAATATTTAAAGTTCTAAACGAAATTGGTTACAAAACTGAGTACATTCGATAAGTTTAAATGTGCTTAAACATTTAAAATTTAATATCTCTATACAGGCCTGCCTGCTCACTTAAGTGAACGAATCTTGCGGTACAGCCAGGCATGATACGTGCGCTCTTTGACCATCTCCTTTTCTGCAAATACAATTGTTTTATTCATGCTTTTTAAGATATTAAAATGAGAAATGCCAACACACCATCGCACTGGAAACATTGAGCCAAGTTAGGAGGACAAATGTTTTCCGAATTGAAGTAGAAGGCGGTTTTCAGCTCACGGAACTTGTTATGCGAACGCATGGTAATGTGTCGTGAGTAGGGATCCTTGCCATCCAAGTGATCTCTTACATGGTGTGCGGATAGGCGGATGTCCATCACATCGATCAGCTGATCATCAATTGCCTCCACTAATTTGGGCGGTTTCTTTAGCAGCTCAGAGCAGACATCGTTGTAAACTGAAATGCAAATTAAGTATAGGTTAAATGTAAACATATAAGCCAAAAGGCAGCCCACCATTAGACAAATTCAAGTGGATGTGCATCATCAGCAGGTGCTCCAGAGTGCAGTGGATTTGAAACAACTTGGAAACCCGCTCCGTGCTCTCGTGCTCGTCGAAATGGCTGTTTTTGAAGCCTGCATCATCGTCATCGCCGGCATATTTCCCCGCGTTCCCAGACTTGACGTTGGCCCCGTTGTGGTGTAGCAACGTCTTTCGCATTCCTGCTGCTCCTGGCATCGGATCCCCCCTGACCGCATTGTGCAGGGATTTTCGCAGCTGGGGCAGATTCTGCGGTGAGCCACCGTCATTCGCTGCCTCGATGCAGTCCTCCTTCAGCAGGTTGGTGCTGCACATCTTGCTCTCCGTGTAGATGAACTCGTAGTCCTTGTACAGCTTCTCCAGGCCAATCTCCAGCAGGAGTTCCAAGGGCTCGGCGCCACTTAAGCAGGGCATAGCCAAACGTCGATTGGCCAGCTCGGTGATAAGCTTGGCCAGGCGATTTTTGTTGGTTGGAGTGTTCTGTAATGATATATTGTATTGTATTGTACTGTATGTACAAGAAATCAGCTATTGAGACTACCGATTAACTTTGACGATAGTCCCAATATAAATATACTTACTACTATATTACAGCGAGCGGCGCACTGAAAGAGCATATTGAAGGCCATTTTGAGGTCCTTGTAGGAGTCGCAGCACTTGAGGAGCTCCCACAGTTTGTCGGTGAGATCGGTGAGCCGCCGCACCTTGGCCCTTTGCACCACATCCTCGAGGTCTAACTCGACGTTGCCAATGCCGTAGCAATTTACGAACCCAGAGACATCTGTCATGGTTTGGTTGATGGACTCCCTTAGCTCCTCCATGTCAATGCCACTGCCACAACGGTAGATGGGATCCCTGGCGATGCCCCGCTTGACATCCTTGTGATAGGAGACTATGTCCTCGCGAATAAAGAGCAAGATGCGTAGCTGGTTCATAAAGTCCTGGGTCAAGGGACTGCATTCGCCCACCCGAAATGTGTGATTTAGAGCCACTTCGCAATCGTTCAGATTTGCCAGCGATGGAAGAGCAGCGTTGGAGGACCAGGAGCAGCGCAGTCTCATGTGTGGACCCACCTGGTAGCTGTTTTCGATCACTGTGTCTTGGGGTGCTTTACCATGTTGGCGGACCAAGGACTGAGAGTTTACCATATAGGAAGGCAGCACTCCTTGGTAGCTCAGTATTCCCCTGGAGAAGTGGCTGGGGTTGAACTCGTATTGGAGCAGCTGTGTTTGCCCGGAATCCGAGCCATCGCATAGGAACCACACGGAGCCGAGTCCCTCGCACATTTGCAGGAATTCAGAGCATATAATGGCCCTCGCCTTATCCACGGGTATTCCACGATGGTATTCCTCTTCCAGTTTCCAAGAATTGGAGTGCTCCAGCTGTAGATCGATGGACAGATCTGCTATGGCATCCACCAGGCAATCGTCCTTAAGAGGACTCCCCGTGAGATCGAGATCAGCTGAATCTGTCTTCCCAGGCGCCGCCTTAGTGGGCGTGGTCCGGATTCTAGCCGCTGCTCCGCTGCGATCCTCCTTGAAGACCAGCACCACCTTCTTGCCGGCCTCTGCGGATCCCACAGCACTGACCAAATATGTGGGTGGTGCTCCGTAGGTGATCGTGTAGGACTCGCCGCACCGGCGCATTAATTCCGCGTAAACGTTGGCCAAATTAGCAGAAGGCAACATTTTTCAAAAAATCAAAAGATGCAAGCGGCGCGTTTCAAAAGCCAAGCCAGTACAGTGTGACCGTGCAGCGGCCAAACTTTTAACCAACATATAACAAATGTGCTACGATATATACCAAAAAGAATGGTGCATACCATAAACCGTCCATCTCTAGCTACAGTGCTGTCAGGGTTTCCCCTTTACATTTAGGGGGAAATATTACTGTTTTTTGTGCTCATAATATTTCTTGTCAGTATATTGCACATTTCCTAAGAATATTTTTTAAATTTAACGAGTGTGTGAAAATCATGGATGGTAATATATTTTGGAGAAAGCCGTTTCAAAATCTGGCAACGCCGTCCAGCTAACAGTTCATTTTTACCTAACAGTCCATCTCTATCCCCCGCACGTGTTGAAATTGTTTTTTTGTTTTTTTTGGGCCGCAGACCACATTTAATTTAGCTTGTTAAGCATGTCAGACTTTGAAATGGAGGACAGTGCCTCAGGCTACGATTCCGGAGATAATTCAGATGCTGAGGTAAGTGGTAATCTTGGCTAAAACATCTACTTTAAACTCAAAATCACAATTTATCATGCAGCTGCAAGCGGCATTTGAGCGAGGCGACCTGAAACCAGGTCTAAATGTGGAGTTTAATGGACAAAGAGATAGAGTAAATGATGTGGTAAGTAATGATCAAGGATATAATTTCTCCAAAACACTAAACAACATATTTACTAGACCAAACTGCTGGCCAAAACAGAGGCTATCAAGCTGCAACTGCCGTGGCTGGAGCGCCTGGACATGATCAACACACTGGCTCCCTTGGCCCCCGAACTGGCTGTCCAGCTGGAGAAGCACGAGCAGAAGCGGGCCAACCTCTTTAAGGGCAACGCCAAGCTGCCCTACATTCGACCGGAGGAGGATCCCGTGCTGAACGATTTCAAGCGGGAGATGCTCTTCCATCGCCAGGCGCAGAGTGCCGTTTTGGAGGCCATTCCCCGCCTGCACGAGCTGGGCATTAAGACGCGTCGTCCGGATGACTATTTCGCGGAAATGGCCAAGTCCGACGAGCATATGCAGAAGGTGCGCGCCAACTTGATGGCCAAACAGCAGGGACAGGCCAAATCCGAGCGCATCAAGCAGATCCGCGAGCAGCGCAAAATGGGCAAGATGCTGGCCAAGCAGACAAAGGTGCAGCGCGAGGCCGAGAAGAAGGACATGCTGGACAAGCTCAAGAAGTTCCGCAAGGGCAAGCTGAAGAACCTCGATTTCCTGGAGGACGCCAAGGCACTGGAGTCCAAGCAGAAGCAGTCCGCCGAGAACCGCAAGAAGCGCAACAAAAAGTTTGGCTTCGGCGGCAAGAAGAAGGGACTGAAGCGGAACACCAAGTCCTCCTCCGCCGGATTGGATGGCGAAAAGTCCTCGCGTCGGCAAAGGGGCGTCAAGGCCGGCGCGTCGGTTAACAAACGAATGGGCAAGTCGCGGCGAATCAAGGCCAAGGGCAAAAAGTAATTATCATTAGGTGACCAAACTTTAGTTTTAAAATGCCCCCAAACCTGTATAGATTTTTTAGAACCATAAATACATTCAATATTATGTGCACCAAGGTGGTTTCACTTTGTCTAGTTGTCTAAAATTTATATTGGTTTCTCAGGATTTTGTGGGTAATTTTATATTTCTCTGATTTCCTCTTATAGCTTGTAATGCCAATCTATTATTTATATAGAAGCTTAATTAAACATGTTTAGAGAAACAAACTTGAAATGGAGTTTTTTTTATAAATTATAATTTAGTGTTCAATTACAACTTTCTAAAGACTATAACTATTGATCCTTCTCCCTATTCTTTTTCTTCTTTTTGCTTTTAATTTGAGCTTCCGCTTCCTCGGCGTCATCCTCTGTTTTTCGCTTCTTCTTGGTCTTCAAGGATTCTTCGGCTTCTTGATATTGGGTTGACTCTTCAGATTCCCGGAGAGGATTATTTTTCTTCCTTTTAATCTTTAGGGGCTCCTTCAATTGGTCTTCTGTAACTTCTTGTGTTCGATCTCCCGGGGTTTCCTCTTCTAACTTCTTCGTTTTGTCCTTCTTTTTCTTTTTGGTTTTCAAGGGCTTCTCTAGTTGGTCAACAGCTGGCTCTTCGAAAGACTCATCTTTTCGGGCCTTCTTCATCTTTTTTAGTTTCACAGGTTGCTCCACAGTGTTATTTACTGATTGCTCCATTAGTTTTTGACCTCCCACAGGCGATTCTTCAGATGACTCCCCATTTTTCTTGACATTAACTGTCCCTGGATCACTCTTAAGTTTGCATTGAAGCTTCTCCAGCATTTCGCGCTCCTGCTGCTCCAGTCGGGCTATCTTTCCGCTTAATTTAAGGCCGTGGCGGGCGCCCTTGTGCGCCGTCCTGCCGCCACATGCCTTGAAAAGTTCCTCATCCGTGAGCACCGTCACCTTTGTGACCTCGATGTCCTCCACCTTGATGCGTTCAGACGTCACCACCTCGCCGCCGTTTTGGGTGAGCAAAGAGGTTTGCAAGAAGTTGTCGTAGGTGGATTTTCCATCGCTGGCATGCTGTTCCTTGGCTTTTTTCAGCTTTCGGGCTGAGAATCCGCTAGTGGAGATCTCCACCGCATCCTCTCCATGTTTTCGGGATGTCGAGACCTGTCCATCCTGCTGAATTTGTACATCCACATTACTGGCGGCCTCATTGAAACAGCGTTCCCACCAGTGGTCATTAAATTCCTGGGCACGATCGACTCCCAATCCCGCATTATCGAACTTCAAGCTAGCTTTTAAGGGAGCTGCAATTCCTGTGTTGTTCTTGCCCAGCCCATCGCCCTCTTTCCAACCATACTTTCCCAGTATCTTCTTGGCAAAGTCCATGGAAATTGCTAAAAACAAATCGAAAACTAAAAGACCATCAAAACAAAACACACGTGTAGCGCTATAGCGACGACAGTTGTATACCTATTGTTATCGCCCTTAACAGCTGTAACAGAGTTGTTGAGTGCTGCCATTTTATTAGCTAGATCTGGAAACATTTTAAAAATAGTACAGCCTGATTTTATGATAACTATTATTTTATTAAAAAACTATTCTTATTTAACATTTTGCCTTTATGCGAAAATTATAATGAATTCAATAAATTACAAAGTAATTAAGTATTCGTTAATTAAATATGTATATAAGTGTGTAATGTTGCCTTTGGCGACCTTGCCAAGGGATTATTTTTTCATTATTTAGTTCTTACATATTTCTTACGTTAAGCGGTACAGACGTGTAAAATAATGTGTAAATGTGTATATCAACCAGATATATTTGAAAATTTTTTGATAAAGGTTTTAATAAAGAAAATAATGCCGAAACAACAGTTTTTGATGAAACTGTTTTGACGCCAACTTTGACCCATTTATCCGTAATCAAGCCCCAAAATACATGAATCCTAAAAATTTGAACGAGATTGGGACTTTTCGAAAGCACAGCCTACTTTTCACTTAAAGTATTTTATATTTTTATAAACTCATATATTTTTTTGTTGAAAATATTTTTTGACAATTTTGCCTCATTTTTATCAGCGCTTTTTTCCAAATCTAGCCATTTTTGAATCGGAAAGTCTGGCACCACTAACGAACTCTAACAAGGTGATTTCGGTCGATATATAATGCTTAGCATAGGGTGTCTCTGGTGTTATCATAAACACAGTTGCATTTGCGCGGTAGAATTTGAAAATCTTTAATCAGATAACCCAACAAGAAAATACCAAATTTTAAGTTTTTTAAAAAGCCTTTTTAAAAAAACGAACTTATTTTATTTTTTTACACATTCATTTCTTCTTTATTTCACATTTCAGCTGCGCTCTTCGGCTCAAATCGTTTGCAACCACTTTATTAACATGTTCCATAATAAATATTAAGTGGCAATAAACAAAAAATATTGTTTACATTAAGGAAACTGATTTTCTTTGAATACAAAATACTTGAAAACAATGGGGATTTTCAGTACGCGCCACAATAAAATCGAAAAAGTTGCTTAGCCCAACGCGCCAACGAATTTCCGTCCAGCCACGCCCACACACTTGCAAATCCAGGGTGTACTTTGCAGGGAGGACCTTCACGCATTGCCTGCCGCTCGAGATTTTTTGCCGTTTCGTTGTCCAAGAACTTCGGGGGAGAGAGAGAGCCTTGGTCAGCGGACATGAAGATCCTGTGCGGGATTTGCAGAGGATGTTGAGCTGGACTGGACTTTATTCGAGGACGCTGTTTGGCTTTTTCGGTGAGCCGGAAGCTTGCTTCAATTAAAATCTAACTTTTATCTTTGTCGTCGTCTGAGCTAATCCAATGCAATCCAAAGCCTTGCTCTTGATATTTCGGTTGTTCAACTTAAAGTAGGTGTGTGGTCTTCTTCTCCTCGCTCGCATGTTTTTTAAAAACAAAATTACATATATTATGTGGTTGTTGGTATTTATAATTAGATAGTTGTACAGGATGTTCTTGCTTGCTATCAATCAATCAATCAATCATTTTATCATTAATAATCGAAAACGAACATTGGTGTTGCTTGTTCTGGTTGTTGTTTGTTTGAAGTGTTGTTTTGGTTGCTATTCTCGTTCGTATGCGGCTTGCACACACGTCCGATTACAGGAAACAAGGACGAGCAATCGATGTGCCTAAGGAGCGCTTAGAAGGCGAACAGCAGCAGGAAAGCCATCATCAAACAGAACAGACCCATGGCCTCGGACAGGGCGAAGCCCAGAATGGCGTAGGAGAACAGCTGCTGTTTCAGCGATGGGTTCCTGGCGTAGCCGATGATGAGGGAACCGAATACTGTTCCGATACCAGCACCTGTTGTATTGGTTCGTTGTCGGCGTGAGGGAATAAAAAGGAGAAACAAAGCATTAGTAAAATGTCCAGACTTAATAGTGAATGTGGTATGATATCTCCGATCAAAACCGAAGCTTCAACCGAGTTTATGCTGTTATTTTATCGCCAACACACATTGAGGCATAAAAACCGAAGCATTTGGCTAAACCTATGTTGACTTTTAGACAGCTATCGGAAAAGTGTACATATACAAGCATAAATACAGCTGAAGCGCTTCTTTTTGTCTCCTTCTCTATGTAGTCAGTCACAGATTAGTCTGAATTGAGTTCTACCCTCAAGGGCAGCAAGCACATCGCACTTAAAATGCTGGCCACGAAAGATTTCAATGCCATTCAAGCGGCGGTCGTTGGGTTAGAACGATGGCAACGCCTGGTGGCAGGATTTCTGGTACTTTCGCCCTGCAATCACACAGGTTTCCTGCTGGGAAATGAAGCCGCAACAAACAGCTGGCTTGGCCAATTCTCAGACCTTCCCGGGGCATATGTATGGGGAGTAATCAGATACTCGTAGTGTGAGCCCCAGATGCTAGATTGTAACTGACTGGAGGAGGAGAAAAATGGCGCTGTGGAATCCCTATGATTGTGATGGATTAGGAGTGCGCAACGAAACCAATACGAACCGGATCCAGCGACACCGACTGTTGCGGCACCAGCGCCAATGAATTTGGCAGCCGAGTCAATGTCACGCGTGACTGGCGAGGTCTGGAATGACCTGATCTGTGGCAGCAATGCAACTGGGGTTGTGTTCTGAGCGGCCAAAGTCTGGCTCTGGCTGATGACGGCGCTGCTCAATGGTCGCAGGTACTGCTTGGAGTTGGCGAGGAGCTAATAAAATATACAATTTTGGTTAGTTATATAAGTAATAGTATGTTATGTTGTGTACATTGCTTGAGATAAAGTTTTCAAATGAGATAAGGTGTTATTGCTGGCATAGAATGTTTTAGAGCATCAATGATAAATGAACATGACATCTAAATATTTTATATGAATATTAGTTATTAGGTTGGTAAAAAGAATTCAGCCTACCAAAACCGGTTTAAATATTGTTGTTAAATATTTAAATAAATATAATAATTTGAATTCTTAATTTTTAAGCTGGTGGGGCATTTAAAGCCATATATATATATACAGATCTTGCCAAAGACACTACATCTTAACCCTATATTTCCGCACAAGTTCATTGCTCTGCTGTAATGGGCTAATGCCAAGTTATGCAATCGTTAAGTAATTTCTATTTGGGATTGACAAGTTGGCCGCAGCATTTGTTGTCCTTAGACATATATATTAGTTCTTATAAAGTTGTCAGTCTCCCGATTGAGTGGTTTATCGTCTACAACATTATAAACAATGTCAATTATTGCCGATTTCCCCGCGCCCTTATTTCTTTTTTCACCACTCAACTGGAAAGCTTTCGCCGGGTTTAACCTCAACCAACCAAACACACCAAATTGGAATTTCACTTGTTATACAATGCCTTAGGAGCCACTTTTGGAAACTATGAGTTAAATCTCTAAATCTAATGTAACAGATATAGTCCGATAATTCCTATTTTGTAGCTCTTGATTGTTCTCTTCCACTGTGCGCGCACATAACCTCAAAGTTATGCAACTGTGTGCCGTCTGTGTTTTCTCACCGCGGCCATTGGAAGTTCACCACGCCAAGGCGGCATACAAATGGTTAAATCGGACGAAAATCAATGCACTTTTCCGATAATTATGTAATATCCCGAGGGTTATCACTTTATCTCGAACAACAACCAAAATATGTGGGTACTTACGGCGCTCCTGGCAACGGGGGCAATGCGAGAGACTGTCGACACGAACATTTTCAGTTGATTTTCCTTTTTTTGTTTTGGCTTACGACAAAATTGAAGCTAGCGCACGGCTCTGCAAAAGATATAGACGGAATATATCGATTAGTTTTGGGAGGTTGAAGATTTGAAGAACTACATCCCACACGCCGCCTCAGAAAAAGTTACGTAACACGGAAAAGCTGCCTTCGCACCGTAATCTCACTCGACTCGCTGCTCGATATTCGCTTATTTCTGAATTGAAAACGATTTACTTCCTTTTTCTTTGAAAGTTCTTTCGTTTTTCCGACTTTTCCAGTGACGCAACGACTCTACACACACGCACACTTTTGAGAACCTGAATAGCACATGTGTGTGTGTGGAAGTGTGCCGCAAGATGGCGACGAACTATCAAACACGTTTCGCATTTTTTTTGGCGAAAATTCACTTGATTCTTCACTGGTGCAGCGCTTTTCCGCGAATTCTGACAATCTGAGGTGTTTTCACGGCTGTTACCCAACAGTGGGGTGCTGATAAGGGGGGTGCTCCTCCGAGCGGGGAGCGGAAAACCCCGGAGAAACCAACTCACTTCGAACAAACCCTTCACAACAGTAAAACGAATTTGACAAATTTGGTGACTTTTGGGGGTGCACGGTGTGGCCATTAATGGGTGGTAAAAAAAATACCAACCATTAGTTATTATACTAGAAAATACTATAAGAAATTTAGTTTTATCGAGGTTGCAATCCAAGGTTAAGAAATAGGATTTACTTTAGCAATGACACAACCATAACATACTAACCAACAAAAGATTTCCGCCAAATCATTATATAAATATATATTTGCCTTAACTGTTAAAAAGATTAATCGTAAAACTTTCAACTGGCGCTATCATCTTTTAAAACAGAGAAACTTTAAATTGCATTGGAAGAATGGGCTATATTATTAAAAAAAAAAGATCCTAGATACTCTTCAAATATAAGCTTTTACCAGGTAAAAAACAAAAATCACAAAAGTCTTTTTTTTCGTAAAAGTTAAGCTATATTTATTGATATCTAGTAGTTTCAAATTAAATTCTCGTTTTGCTGATGGTGATGATGTATAAATGCTGTATGTTAAATACTTTTTAACTTATTTCATATAACGAAGTCTTAAATAAGTAATAGCTATAAATACGTTTTTGTAATAACTTGATATCTAATGAATTGATATTCAAACTTTCTCAACAAAATATCAATAATAATATTAATAATATTAAAATGTATAAACGATTGTCTATTTTTTGTTTGAAATAAGTCCCCAATTTACAATTACATGATTTGTCTTAAATTATGAAATAAAACCGCAAACTGCAATAATAATATTATTAAATTATTAATTAATCATTTTAATATTATATTAATAATAAAATCATCGAATTATCAATTTAAATTAATTATTTTCTAATATCTGGATTGGAAAAAAATTTCACAAAATTTTTAAAGAGCGAGAGGCACATTCTTTGCTTTCTTGCAGGAACAAGGACGGCAACAATTCGAAGATGTTCGAATTGCCATTTTTGATTTTAGCTGATTTTGACTGGACGGATGTGAAAAAAAGCTAAAAAAATTAAAGCAAAACAAAAAAATGAATTAGGAATATAAACAAGAACTCCCGCTGCCGTATGTTTTCGATTTTTTTAAAGAAATTATATTTAAAAAGAGTTAGATTTAATTAAGGTCATTTTTCCAGTATATTATGTTATATATCCAGTATAAAAATCTTGATGCTTATCGATAATTCGTTAGAAACTTCGTTTTCAACTTTTGGCGCATTTTCAGAAATTGTTCAAAATCCAAAGAGTAACAACAAAAACTATTCGATAAAATATCTAAAAATAACTTCAAAATACGATAAAATATGACAGTTTATAAAAAAAATTGTCTTAAAGAACGTACATATAAATTAATTAGTTGTGTCTTTAATATAAAGTGCAAATTTAATATTACCGCCCTTATCGATTGTTCAATTAACCCATTTCTGAAGCCCTGGCTCCTGGGCAACTCACCACAGTCACCCACACCACCACAAACGCAGCATAACGCGTCGTTCGACGTCGGTGTTTGTGTATACGTCACGTCGGTTTAAATTATGTTTTAATTACTCGCAACTGCAAAGGGAACTCTATCGAAGCACATAATGCTGTAAGTATACTAAATATTTATTTTATTTGGCGATTAGTTAAACCCAGTTACGCCCCCAAAAATGTTGCAGCCCTCAATTGCATAACAGCACTTGCGCATGAGTGTGTGTGTGTGTGGGAAACGCCAGAGGACCAAAACACACCACACCGGGCGAGGAAGAACGGAAAACGGCAGAAACGGATGAACTGCGCTGCATTTTAACAGCAAAAACTGAGTTTTCCCTTAAAAACAGTTGCCATGTCCGGCTGTTGACAATCGATAACGACTAACTATCGCAACACCAACATTCAGTACTCGTTCGAACAAAAGTCACCACAGCGCATTGGAAGTTGGGTGGGAGTCACCGCTAAACAGACACTGCAGCCCTGGAAGATGACAACTTTAGTGCATTGCTGACCTGGCCACACTGATCAGCCCCGATTTTAGTTGCTGTTTTTTTACATAACTCGCCACATTCGTTCGCCTCGGAATCCGTGATATATATATACATGATAATATAATATATTATGGCCGTTTTCCTGATCAACGTCTGCAAGTACAATGGCTGCGGCATCACATTTCCGAGCTTGAGCGATCTTATTTCCCACATCGAGGACACCCACATAGGTGAGATTGGGATCATAAATCGCGTATTTCGCTATCATTTGACCGTCGCGTGATGTTCTCGGTGTGTTTGTTTATTCTATTTATTTACCCGTCGACGATGGCGGCATAAATAAAAATATAAAACAGGGCAAAGGTGTGTGAGTGCGAGTAAATGTAAATGGCTTCGTGGTGAATTGAATGTTGTTTTTATAACATGAATTGCAGTTTGTGCATTTAGCATTTATTGCATTTTTAATGGCAAAATCGATGCTGGAAGTCGCTACCTGTGCTTGCCTTACGCACACCAGTGCACTCTACACCCGTGCACACACGCCCAGTTTTCCAGGCGCGTACAGCATTCGGTGATCGGTGTTTGCCTGGAACGTGCGGGTGCGAGCGAGAGGGCAGTACAAGCAAAACAAAAGCAAAAAGCCGGTGATCCATTCAATACCCCTATTGGAGTGTGTGTGTGTTTGGAAGGCCAGCACAGCATCTAGTTGTTGTTGTTTTTGTAGTGGAAACCGGCGAGTTGAGCGCCCTTTTTTTGACCTGTCCGCATGGCTTGGCTTGGGTTTTTCTGGTATTACTTTGCAGAGCAGGTGTATCCGCATCCGGTAATCGGAGTTGCGCTCTATATTTCTCCCATTTCCACTCCACCCACACGCACAATCGATACTTTCCCGTCCACGTGACTCCCGTGGGCTTCCAATTAATCATGTTTAGGGTGTGTGTGTGAACTTTTACCGGCTGAAATAAACAATTTCTAATTTTAGTGTTGGCAAGGGGGGCGGGGATTTCTAGGGGGAAAATCAATAGAGTTGGGCCCAGTGTTGTATTACGAAAACAAGGGTTGGGGGTGGGTTAACCGTTAACTGGCTTTATTCCCAACATGCCGTGCGTCTTACACTGAAAGCCAAGTTTATAGCTTTACAACTTCAGTTATTCTATTATATATTGTCAAAAAACCGATACTAAATAAAATATCGGTTGGATGAGTAAATCGAGACTTAATCAACATGATTCTACACAAATCGTTAGATATATCACCAAATTATATCAGTTCTATGTTCTGTATAAAAGAATAAAATGGAATGATTTTTAAATTTGATCCCGTAAGGTGGCAGTAATATTAACAGGTACAGGTTCAAAAAACACCATACGTTTTAACAATTTTTTGCTTCAAAAATGCAAAATTTATACAAATTTAATTGTAAAACATTCGATTTAACTGCTTTTCCATTTCTTACATGTATTGAAGGATTGTGCAAAATTATCAATGTATCATAACGAATTTATTTTTCTTTCTGTGTATGTACAGGCTCTTTTGCACAGACACATACACTAGCAAACCAGAGGGGTTGGAGAGAGAGAAAGCAGAGGGGTTGCTCAGCTGACTTGCCCACGGTTACGTTGGCAGCTGTTTTGTTGTTGCCACTGCTGCGTGATAACGGTCAACACACACACACTCAAAATGGCTGCCCGGGCAGGCTTTTCCACCTCACCACCACCCTCTTTTGTGTCCCCGGGCATTACATAAAGCTCAGACTCAGACTTTGAGCATACGCCCACTTGGCAACTGCCACCCCCAAAAAGACGAGGCGCAGATATCAAACACCTCCCAAAAAATCCCCGGAAAGCCCGCCCGCATCCCCCATTTCCATTGCGTATCCATTACGTGAGCGAGCTGTGTTGTGGGGCTTATAAATGCCCATCATTTCATTATCTCGAAGGACATTGGATGCGTGGGTTCTCTGGATGGATGAATATATGCCTGTTATCAGGATTCGGTGGGCGTTGTCGCTCGTTTCGATTCGGTTTGGTTGTCATGGCAAGGGAAAAAGCGGGCGAGACCTTCAGGTTTGTCCTTTTCACAGTTGCCAGGCACCTGTTGTGTCCCAAAAAAAAATGCCCGGGATAATTTATGTGTGTGTTTGCGGCACGCTTGTCTTTCTCCACTGCACTCGAGTTTCGATAACCATCTGCAAAATGCGATATGCCGCATTTAACCCACTGAGTAACTGGTACAAAAATGTGAACCTGTCTCCTATCTTGACATCTTTGAAGCATATTATGAAATAAGTACATTCGAATTTATTTACTAAGAATTAATAAGATAATTACCAGAATAATAATAGCCATTAAAATATTCGTTGAATTAAATGAATTTCTTATTAAAAATACAATTTACCCAAAAATGGAACATATGTACATACTCTAGAAGTTTTTTCATAACATTTTAAATTTAAGTGGGCTTACTCCTTGCATAAACTTCAAAATTTAATTTAAAAAATTAAATTAAAAATTAAGTTTAATTTTTTTTTATATATTTTTAAAATTCAATTTAACAGAGTTTGCTATTTGCTATTTTAAGTTTGTTGCCGATTGCTTCGTTGAACGATTTCTTTTTCGGTTTCAGTGCACTTTGAAGGTTATTTAATGGGTTAATACAATCACCCCACCTAAAGTGTCCCTGCACTTGCAATGTCAACATAATTCCACTGCAGTCAACGACTCGAGTTTATCAAATTTCAAATGAAATGGTCTGTTCGTAGCTATTGGAAAGTTTTCGAGACAGCTGCCGAAATGAAAACAAACCGAAACCGCATGTTCAAGCGAAAAACATTTGTTATCTTTTTTAATTCTGCAACAAGTGCATGAGTCATTCACAAGTGCAAAAGAGAGAGGGATCTGCGTTTATTTTGTTTCTGAAATACGAAAAACGTATGATATACGACGCCTGTATAGATGTGGGTTTGTCTGTATGTACGTATACAGATGCTATTAGTTCAAAAGTTGTTTGTACAATACTCGATTTGATAAACACACGAACACTAAGGCAAGAGCAAAGTGTCACCTACAGAGAAGTCGTGAATGTCTGGGGTTATCAATAACAAAATAATAATAACAATAATGAAGGCGGAGCTGAAATAAAAAAAAAAACCGAACCGGGTGAACTGATTTGACCGTTGACAAATGACGCCGTGTTCTTAGGAGGATGAGGGGCGTGGCACATTGATTTCCTCAGCTAAAATATGTATAATTACAAATGCTAAAGACACATAAATACTTGCTGAAATGTTACCTAAAGTACGTGGAATTATTACGCACATATGGACAGTCCGTATGTGTCATCAATAGATTGCCTGGCACGTAGACATCATCGCAATCAATGCCGCAAATGTTTTTAATCGCATTTCGCCCTGATAAGCGGCTAAATAAGCGAGGTGGGGGTGTTCAGCTAAATGAAAGCATATGTTTCGCATAATAGCCAGCTAGCGGCATATGTTTCTGTTTGAACGACAGTACGAATCGAAGCAATTAATGTGCAACGTTATCGAACTTTTATCGCGTGGGTGGTAGTGAGCGGAAATGCAGTGTGCCCACTGATTTCTTATCTTGTCAGCGGATTCACATATGTCTATAAGATCGTTTAATGAAATGAAACTGCAGCAGAAGTCTTGAACTTATAAACCATCTCTCCAATCTAAACAGTTGCTATGATAAAACAATTATTTCTGGGATTTCCCCCTCATTATACTTAAAAGATTTAAGCCTTCGCATTGTATCTAGTCTTTTTTTACAAACCCCATGGTTTCTGTGTAACGAAAATATGCCTTAAAATGCTTAAGAACTCGCGAGAACAAGGTTTTTTTCATATATAAACGAGATAAATACATATGACCTTGTGCAAGACCATCTATTACTTAAGAATTTAAGGTATAACATAGCTATAAGCTCCAATTATCAAAATTCGGCGAACAAAACCTTCTCTGTCACTCGTATGTTGAGTACGACTGATTAGCTAATTTTCTAAAAATTAAAGGCCATGACTTTGTAAGATCCGCAACTGATCGATGGATGTTATTTTATCGTTTAGCAGCCCGTTAAGTGCCACTGCAATCAACTGACGAATGCACAGGGTGCTCATATGATGAATGGGCCGGCTGACACAGTTACGCACAAAAATGATTTGATTGGGAAATAAAGCGTGCTCCGTCTGCTTATGGAGGTTAGGTTACTCTCTCGTACACATGGATCGAGAAGTAAATAAAGACGCAAAAGGGGAGACTTTGAGAGAGGCACCTGCTATTATGCACTCGCTGATTAAGCAAGCTTTGGGCTTATGCTTGTTCTGGCGATAAGATAATGTACCCACGCTATGGAGCTGGCCATGTGCTCCTCCTGACTCTCCGTACTCCCCTTCGAAACCCCTCGAAAATGCGTCAACAGGCGCACAAAATTCGTCGCCATACCCCGTACGTGCACTCTCGCTATTTACTTATTTCGACATTTTAATAATAAATTGCCCGGGCTGTGGGTCTTCTGAATGTTTGTGAACTTGTTCCAGTGCAAACACAGCGCGTTGGCGACGAATTTTGGATGCAGGTTTCTGTTCTGGCTGCCCGCATTCCGGTTCGTTCTCCAAACCCGACTCGAAAGGGAATTTGTAATTAGCTAATCCCGTTTTGAGAAACGTTCTAGCAGGGTCTGTAATAATTTTTATTTTTATTTAAAACATTACAATGGAGTTTTGGTTTTTCACGTTGATGGTGTTCCTAAATCACACCCTTGTATTTTTATTGTGGGCGAATATTTGTCCAAAAACTAATAATAAACAACAATTCTGTTTTAAAAAGACTTTGGGTATGGGGTATATTTAGCCATTGAAGAATTACATAAAAATTTAAATATTGTTAAATTAAGACCACTGTTAAGTAAAGCAGCCATTTCACGATTGGTATAACAGCTTGGGTTTCTTATGAAGAATACAATGTAAGAATATTTATATTTTATCTTGCAGACTATGACCCGAAGGTGGTCGAACAGAAGGAGCAGGCACAGCCTGCCTGCCTGCCGCTGAGCTACGTCCTGCGCTTCATTACCGAGGATAACCGCAAGGAGGCGGGCTCATTCCTGGCCAGCAACAATTCCGCCCCACCGACCACCAACAGCGGATCCAGCTCCGCTGGTCATGGAAATGGCAATGTGGAGCTCAAGCGAAAGCTGGCTATTAAGCACCACAGCTACAGTATGTCCTCGTCCAACCGCAGCACCACGCCCACAGGTATGCGAAATTGTAAACTATATATTCGGTTTTATCTAATTGCTGGTTCTTTACTTATATAGGCAGCGAAATGGACGAGGACGAAATGGTGGTAACGGAGTCGGAGGATAGCAACGACTCCTGGACCACTGAGGAGTTCAGCTCCGAGTTTATCATGCGCTACGGCAGCAGGTTCGTTTTCTATCTCTAGATCTCTAGTTACTTAAATATATAATTATAATTTTATGACGATTTACTTGTTATTACGACTTACAAGTTTTCACCGGTTAGAGCCACATCTAAAGGGAATAAATTAACTATATTAACGTTTCCAATCCTCATAAAAGTATTGCATAAATTGTTTGGGGAAATAGTTGTGATGAAATGACCGGAAACGCTGAAATCTTTTAGTGATAATGTTGTATTCGTCACAACAATAGGGATTTTTTGCCTTCAACTTTGAGTTTAAATATAATTAATGATTCATATCCAATAATCAAATGTTTAATTCAATCTAATCCAATTTATTTAAATAGGCATTCCGGTGGCGGAAGCAATGGCACGCCTGGCAATGAGAAACCATTCGCCTGCCCCGTTCCGGGATGCAAAAAGCGTTACAAGAACGTCAACGGCATCAAGTACCATTCGAAGAATGGCCACAAAAAGGACGGAAGGTAACAATAGAGTCTAAGCGACTAAACTGTGTGCTTGGTAAACTGGAAGCTGATAATTCTATGTTCCACAGAGTTCGCAAGGGCTACAAGTGTCATTGCGGCAAGAGCTACAAGACGGCCCAGGGCCTGAAGAACCACGCTCTGCACACCCACAACTCGCAGCCGGATAGCGTTCTGAATGCCCAGCTGGCCAATGCCTTGGCCATCGGCGATGGGGCCTCATCGGCCACGCCTGTGGGCAGCAGCAACTCGGCCACCTCCTCCTCCTCCTCTAATCCGAACCCGCCGCCCATCATTCAACGCAGCAACTCGCCCTCGCAATCTCTGGGCTCTCTGAGTCCTTCGAGCATCAGCAACATGTCGAGCAGCGCCAGCAGTTGTCACGGAGGCAGCAGCAGCCTGTCCGGGAATGGGAATAACAACAACAACGGCACTAATGGCAGCAGCACCACCACCAGCAGCACCACTGCCATCCTCACCGGCAATGGGAATGTACTGCAGCAGCTCAGCGCTGGGAATGTGGTCACTCTGACCAATCTTCCCACCCAACAACAGCAGCAACAGCAACAGCAGCAGCAACTCCATCAGAACACTCCAACAGGTAACAGCAACAACAATTTAATGCGCAGCACACTCGGTTTAGTATCCATTAAAGCCAACAACACGCCGACAACTAAGTCGGTAAGCAATCTAATGGCTGCCAATGCCACCGCCAGCAAGATACTCAAGCTGGCCACCAATGTGGCCAATGGTGGTGGGTCCACCATAGACATTGTGCAGCAGCAGCAGCACAATAAGACAACAATCAATAGCAGCAAGCCACTGCCCAATTTGGTCAACTTGGGCATACTAACGCCGGCCACTTCACCCACCAAAAACACACAGACGCTGACCTTCACCACCACGAATGGTAGTAGCCAACAGCAGCAGGCGTTGGTGGCCTCGTTGGCCAAAAAGACCAACATATTGCTGCTGCAGGAACCGAATCAGTTGCTGCAACAGGTGCAGCAGCAGCACCAGCAGCAGCAGCAACACCAACAGCGCCAGGTGCAGCAGCAGCATCAACATCATGTTCTGCCCATCAGTCCCACGAGTAGCGTCAGCGGGAATAGCAGCAAGAGCAGCTCACCCACGCCGCAGCAACAGCAGCAGCAACAGCAACAGCTTGTGAAAAAGGGCAAACTAGAGCTAATGGAGCCCATGGACACGGATGAGGGCCAGAGCGATGATATTTCGGAGAGCGTGGCTGCAGCAATTGCCAGCATCACGGATTGCAAGGACGACATGGGAGGTGCAACCGTGGCGGGCATTGAAGTTGTAGGCGCTGGCGCCGTCAACGAAGAGACGTAGCCTATACTCAAGCAGCTACTAATGCACCGAAAACTGACGCTGGAACCACCCAAGGCACCACATTGACCGACCAGCTCCTCCGTATACGAAAGACATTCTATACTCAGTTAAAGGGGGCAAACGACTCACCAAAACACCCATTTGGATATATTTCGTAGACTGCTTGCACACACATGCTTAGAGACCAGAAACATAAGTTGTGTTTTAAGATTAGACCCCTGGACATAAACAATGAATACCAATTGTAACATAAAACTAAAGAAAACAACCCCACAAATCGCATTGATTGTGCAATATTTAATTTTGTATTATTTTGAAAAGAAAGAATTTTAACCACCTTTATTTGTATGTGTGAATATCATGCTTGTATTAAACTATTTACAACGGCTGATCTCCTCTTAATTTAATTAGGCTATATATAAAAAAAAAACACCTCCACATAGACGAAGCACGAGCAACAATTGTAATAAATACGCAGCAAAATGCAAAATTCAAATTCATTTCCATCTGATCACTTTAATTAATATTAGCACTACCACCTTAGCTTTAGTGACTATTCGTATTCGACTAAAACCAAGTATTATTTATGTTCTAAGCTCTAGCAAATTGAATTTAATTATACGATATATACATCTACTCGGATATTATGAAGTCTGCTCATTAGTTTAAGACGACCTCCCGACTTTGTGCAATATTTTTTAATTATGACTTAGTTTTTATCGATTCCAACTCTGTAAAATCTTTGGTAATCTTTATTTTCGTTTGGTTTCGTTTTGTTTTGATTTGAGTTTATGTTTTTCGTTACTTCTTTTCCTTTTCTCTCTACCTATTGCAGAAACCTCTTACTCCTGCTCAAACAACAGCAACCTCAGCAATCCGAACAGCAACCACAGCAGCAGCGATTCTAGCAAGCCTCCGACGACCGTGAACAAAAGGTCCACAGCAATCGTTCCTGCCAAACCGCTGCTGCCCATGCAGATCTCGCCCAACTTTATTGAGCACAAGTATTCGGCGCTGGCGATGAAGGAGAAGTTCTTCTTGAACTTGAGGGCCGGCAAAACGGTGTCCAGTTCATCCGGAGGCGATGGGGTCACTACTGCCCTGGGACACCAATCGGATGTGGGCATTCATGGAGGAGGATCAGGAGGAGGAGGAGGTGGTGGTGGTGGCTTGCGGGCGGTTGCTGTGGGCCAGATGTGCGCGCTTCAAAACGAGCACATTCACCAAAATCTCTACAAGAAAACGATCAACTGACCATCAGATCGATCGGATGATGCGGAGACGCTGGGCGCCGCTGAAAAGCAAGAGAGTTGGCTGTGATGAAGTAGTAACTAACTGACTAACAAAACCTGACGAGTGGCGGAGCAAGAGGATTCGTCAATATGGCTGAGATGGGAAAAGAAGGATGCATCAATAGGAGGAGGGAGGAGTGGAGGAGCTGGGTGACGCCCTAAATATCCTTAGAGAAGTTTTCCAAGACAAGGCAAAAAGAAGCAAGAATTTCCATTGGCTTCCAAATGTAATACTACAAGATGCAAAAAACAAATTCCATGCATTTCGCAATTATGAAAATATCACAACAAGCACATAAACATAAACATAAAAAAACATTAAAACTAATCTCAAACATATTAAGCAGGAAATTCTTTAAATACATGAACTGTACATAAATTTGGCCTGCTTAGAAAAGCTTCTCTAAAAACAGCTTTAGATAATTCTAAAATTAAAAAGAAAAAAAAATACGAAACAAAACAAAAAATCGAAAAAAGAATTAATTATACACACCACAAAAATTTTAGTAAATACATTTTTGGAGATCTTTCTTCAACTAGTCATTATTGTAGTTAAATTAAATTTTTGATTTTATACACTCGTAAAAAACCAGAACTTTCTAACCGACTGGTTGGTGGAGTCCCCGAACCCTCTATTTATAACTTTAGAAACTTTCCCCTGTACAACTTCAATGAAATCTTATTTGGGGGTTCCCCCAACCAGTTAATGAAATCATTTTTAATTCAAAAGTCATAAATTGTCTAAAAGAGATCCACTAGAAGGAAGGAAGAAAATGGAGCAGGAAAAAGAAGAACGATTTCGTGCAGACCATTTGAATTAGGAAAATTTAAGGTCGCAAACTTGCCAAGGCAACTTTAAGCGAGCCAAAAAAAGGAAATGGAGATGGAAATCCGATGCAAAAGTTGATAAATGTCGAATATTTCAAAAATAAAATAGTTAGTTACAAATTTAGGGAAAGCCAGGAGGCGTTTCCACTTGGGAGCCACAATAACTCTACAGTAGTTATAGTATTATATTTATAAATTACACTATTATTTATACGACGGCATACATCTGTAGCTGTGTGAGTGTGTGTCCGTGCATGTATTGTAATTGTTTATTTATAGTGTTCAAACGTCCCTAAGTGTAAAGTCCCAAAAACAAAAAAAAACATACAAAATATACGATATGAATACAAAATATTTTTGTGCATACTCTCATTGCATGCCTCTAAATTTGATCGAACTTCCTATCCTAGCAGAATCGGGTTCCTTAAGCATTCAAACCAGAACAAAAACAATGAAATTTTTAATATACGATATTTACGTCAATATACCTACATCAATTTAGTCAGCCGCCAAAACAAAACGAAAAAAAACCTTTTCAGAGCGCATTTCGCAGACGCCCAGCGTCTTAAAAATTAACCACAACTAAACTAAATAGTTCAGCGTCCCTTAAATGATATAACACCTAGCTATCGATGCATATTTACATCTAGATAAAATATCTTTAAGTCCTCACGCTTAAGCGACTCCCAACGGATCGCCCTAGATTAGCCAAACAACTTTTATATGGAAGGAACTAGCTTCGGTCCCCCGAAGAACCCATCGAGTTTTCAGTTTTCCTGATCACTCGCATTCAAACTTTCAAAATGGATAATGAACTCAAAACCCTCTAATGAAAACAATAAATTGAGTATGTCATCTTATATAAGACTGCTGTTATGTTCGTAAATATATTTAATATATGTATGTAAAATTAACGAAAAACAAAACACACAAAAAAAGGTAATAAAACAAAAAAACCTTTTAAATAAAAAAATCACAAAATCCAGAAAATGAATAAAAATGAATAGTTAACGTATTCGTACTCTACCTACATACTATGTACTATATAATGTATTGTAATTGTAATTTACTAATATCGTAATAATACGTAGAGAATTAACTAAAGTCTAAACATAAAAACCATCGACATCCACATCAAGATAGTCCCAACAAAAGGGTTTATTGAGACACACTTTCCCCACACATAAAAAACATCATCTACAACAACAACAACAAAAAAATGTAGTAAAATATTCTCTTTTTGCTTTATGTGATCTATTACATAATACATAAACATATGTATAATAAAAATGTCCTTTAAAAACCAACTCAAGTAAAAGAAAATGTATTTTCATTAGCTCATCAATTCACAATTGATTTGAATGGCAGATGAAGTTCGGAATTCGACTATTCGGTCAATCTATGTTCTCCAAAGATGCAGTTTTCGGTCACCTTCCATAGGAAATTTGTAAAAAACTAAGACGAAGGTATACAAATAAATCAAGGTTTAAACAAAAATTTAAATGCAGATTTTGTTATGTTGGGATTTTTACAATGACAGTGCTTTTAGTTTTTATTAGATGTTACGTATTTTATTGCAGAATTGATTGTTTTGTATTTACAAGGTATTTATATACTTATATCTACAGATATTTTATAATCAATCAGTAAAATTACACCCTTATGTTTCAAATTAGGATTCAAGTGTAACCCTCAGTACAAGACTAACAATTTCCAAAAAGTTTTACAACTCAGATTTTAAATTAAAATTAAAGAAACGCTTAAAGGGTATGGATTTCTAACTTACTTTTTACTAGGTATTTTAAAAACTAACTAAATGGCAAATAGCAAAGTGGTTTTTATTAAGTTTGGACATATGTAGCATTAATCTTTTTCTCTTCCCTTTTCTTTTGAAACCCAGCTGACTTACTCAAAACTTTGGTCAACTTACTAAACGCGCAAGTTGGCAAAATCTTTACAAAGACAGAAGAACGTGTTACCAAGGTTGCTATTTATATATCTGAATCCGGTAAAATTGGTAGTGTTCTAATGAGAGCGTCAAAATTTGTAAATCATTTATTGTTGAACTATTTTTGATATCCAAGCCAGAATTATAAATAGCAAACCCTCGTTAATTTTTTCTTCATTATTTTATGTCTAAAATCGTCTAAACTGGTATATACGTAGTTCACTCTGCGTGGCCTTTGGCATCGATTGATTTCTGAGCAGATGATTGGTAGCACACAAACTACGAGCCAGTGATTTAATGGGGATATATGTTATATATATCCCAAGGGTATCCTTAACCATCCAGGCATCCTTTTTGCCTTAGGCCGACTCGCTGGCGCCGTACAGCAGATTGTCCAACTTTAATTTGTTGATGTTTTCCCCCCGGGCTCCATGTCCAGGCCGTCCCCAAAAGGTTTCGAACGTGTCGAAGTGCTGGTTGCACAGATCCCGATCCAACTGCTTGGACACGGAGACGGATCGACGGTTTTGTGATATTTGAACATTCAAGTCGTGCAGATAGCGCATGTCGGCGGCCGTTTGAATCCTGGTTGTCCGGCGATTTTGGTGGGCAGCAATGTTGTTAGTATTTTCGTTTCGTGTAATCGTGAAATATCGTTTTTCATTTCATTTTTTTGGTTTTTTGATTTTTTGCGATTTTTCCGGGGATACATAGAAGATTGGTATTATAATTTTGGATTTTTGCTGTGGCAGTTTGTTTTTGTTTTGTTTGGTGAGATTGGTTTTTGGTTTGCTCTTTTGGTTGCTATACTTTCACTTGTATTACAATGGATATTTTCTTGCTGGATGAAGTGGGGGGTATAGAGAAACCATTAAACAGGGCACGATTATAGGGCACGAAAAACAGAGGGGCAAAGTGGGCTTTTAATTTAAAATATTTGGCGCAGAGCAAGCAAATGAGAAACGGAGAGGGGGAATGACTATGAATGTAGGGAGGGATAATGATCGGGATTGGGACTAAAAGGACTAATGACTTGGGTTCCTAAGGGGTTACCCCCACTTGCAACTTTCAAATTTTAGAAAATGATTTTGGTTTAAACCAAAAACAGATTTTTTATAAAGTAAGCTTAAAATTTGATCAAATATTTTTCAAAATCTTCGATTATAAATTTGTTTTATGGTGCTTTTAACTAAATCTTTGCATTATTTACTCAATATTTTGTAATACAAAAATTAGAGTAAAATTTTTGTAGAAAATATATAGATCTTTTGAAACTATTGAGTAGTTTTTGTAAACAAAAATACCGAAAATAGCCCTGCAACTGGGTGTAGCCCCTTAGGCCTTAAGCCTGACGAATGTGCAGGGTGAGCCGCTTGAGGCAGCAGCCCGTGGCCAAGGCCGTGGGGCAATCGCAGCTACAGCACTGCAGCTTGCAGCTCAGATTCTTGGGCAGCCGCTTCATGTGGCTGATGTTCTTGATGATGCTGTTGATGCACTTGATCTTGGTGGTGGTGGTCAGCGGACAGTTCTTGGGTGGATGCTTTTGCTTGGATGCGTACCTATCGTGGGAGGGCGTCCTCTTGGTCACATCCGTGCTGGACAGGCTGATGGGTCGGTGCATGCCACGCCTGCGGGCGAGCAGTGGAACCAGCTCCACGCCACCGCCCTCGCCATAGGGTCCTCCATTTGCTCCACCTCCTCCTCCGGCGGTACTGGCATCCGGAGTGGCGGTACTGGTGCTCCCGGGACAAGGTCCTCGGGCTGCCATTCGGGGACACAGTTTGATGGGCTTGTTGCCACCGCAGTCCTGCGGCTTCAGGTGGTGCAGGATCTTTCCGGGAGGCGGGCCTGGCGGACCCGTACACTTTTTTCCCGGCGGAATGGGCAGCGAGAGCGGCGAAGGTTTGGGAGGACTATGGCTCATGGCGGGACAATTGCAGGTGCACATCTCACAGCAGCGCTGTGGCTTTGTATTTTTTCCTGGCCGCGATTTCCGGAATGTGTTCTTCTCCGCCGGAGTCACTGGGTTGTCCTGATCTAACTCCTTTAGCATCTCTTTGTTCGTCCACCCCTGAAAACATATTAAGTCATTCGCAAGGCAACTAGGATTATTTTACATTCCAGCCAATCTCTTACGATAAAAAAATATATTACATTTTAAAAACAACAAACAAATAAAAGCTTAACTTAACACTACATGAAAGGTTTTAACTGTTTTTAATAAAAATTCTAAGACAACAAAGAAATACTGGTCCAACACAAAAAAAATCAGAATTATAACTTTTGATTGAATGACTATCCTTTATACATCGATATTAAAATAAAATAATCAAGGCACAGTCGAATCCAGTTAAATAACACTAATACAATTTTTCTAATGCTAGTAAACTTATTTCCTAAGGTAAGTCTGGTGGCCTCATGGTCTCCAATTGGAGAAAGACTACGAATGTCTAAAATTAATTCTTGGGGGTAAGCCTTTTAACCAATCGATTAGTTTTTATCGGCAAAAAAATTTTTGCAATTCTCCACAACACTTTACTCTCTCCTTTTTTTTAAGATCCGTGTTCAAAACTTTTCATCTATATACATAAAACTTACCATTCCAACTTAAACATTATTGAACAGCCAAATCCAGTAAACTATTTTCCAACTTTTAATAAAAATAAATAAAACATACCAGTGACTTCATGAACGTATTGCCCACTTCCTTGGGACTCCGCCAGGGTTTGCCGCCCGGACCCGCCTTGCCCCAGGGCTCCTTGCAAGGCTAAAAGAAAGGACACAATCAAAGGATTAATGAAAATATGTACCAGAAGGCGTAATAAGTGCCGCTCACCGGCTTTTCCAGCTTGGCCTGCAGCCGCTTCTTTTGCGAAGCCAGCTTTTCCTGCAAAGGACAACGCTGTTCGCTTTCGCTGACCACGATCTTCTCGAGAAGTGGCTTGCCTTTGCAAGGCGGCGAGGGCTTGTACCTCAACTCTATGTCCACATGGCCTTTATTGCGAAACGACATTGAAGGATGCTCTTTCAGCTGGATGTGAAGACTCTCACCGTTGGCGTTTTTGGCCAGGTTAACACCAACGCCGGCTCCAGGCTTGGCGGGAATCTCCCGCTCGCAAATTGTCACCGTGCTGCTCCTCGGACCACTTTCCTGCAGGTGGTGAACGGAATGGGCGTGGCCCAAACGACCTCCCGGGGGAGGTGGAGGCGGGGCATGGTGATGGTGGTGATGGTAGGCGGCCAGGGGATTGTTGTGGCACTTCTTCTGCATCGAGAAGAAGTCGTTGTAGCGACACGGTTGTAGTAGATTCAGCCGGTGGGCAGTGGTCTGTGGGTTATTTTTTTACGAAATTCAAAGTAACATAATATTATTAGGGGGTGCGATTTCCTTACCACAGTGGGTGTAGAGTGGAGACCCACGGCTGTGATGTCCTTACGACGAACCTCTACGTTGGGAGCACCACCACCTGGTCGGCCCCAAGGACAATGTTGGTGAAACAGGTCGTAGTACTAGTCAAAATAAGGAGTTAAGATATATGTAATTACTGCGAATATAATGCATAGAAACAGTGGGAGCACAGAAATATCTAGAAGTTGGCAATCACTCCAAAAGTTAGAAGCCGTTGGCACATCACTGTGGACGGCCGAGAAGAATTAGGGACTCCCAACACAAAAGTGTATACTTTTCAATCATTTTATTGAAACTAAGTTGAAACGCTTAAGTCAAACCGTTATGTGAAAACGGGTTCATGGAAAACAATAAATAAATGGTTTATCCGATTTGAAGGACCAATGATCAGTTGCTCGTACAATTTTGTAGTGTAATCCTCTTAATCGTTGTAATTTTTTAAGTCACTAAAAGTGTATATTAACAAAATAATTGATATAAATAATATGATTTGAAACTGTTTTCTTAATTTCTTATTGGCCCTTACAAAAGCAAATTTTCCACAATGACGTCTGATATTAAACTAATCTCAGTCTGGGCGGCAGGATGATTACAACATCGAGTTATGTCTTATCGATTTCGAGGCAGCCTATTTAAGGTTCCCAGACTGCCTCAACCCACCTCGTGGTGTCACTCTCCGCAAAGTGTGGCGTTGTTTGTTTACGGAAATTGGCAAAGCTTTCTTGTATCCTTTCCCTCTGGCCTACGAACTTTGTTTGTAGGTTGTTGTTATAGTTGCAACGAATGCGATTTGCATTTCACTGATTTTTTTCACCCACATTTCGGTCGGCGCTTTCACACAGCTGCAAACAGTGATGGATAGCCAAATAATCAGCCAGAATTCTAGTCACGCAAGGACTCGTAGGAGTGCGCAACTTGCTTATAGTTGGGCATTTAGCCTAGAGAGTGGATTTGATTTCTAAAGTCGAAATTGTCAAAGGGTTTGTTGAACCAAATCCGTGAAAACGGATGTATTACATGTTGCTTGGGAAAGGTCTTTGAACTTAACCAATGTTCCGACTATCGCGTGGGTGAAGGTTCGATATGTTTTTTGATTACCATAGGTTCATTTCTGGAAGTTTATGCGTGCTAGGATTGTAAAAAGAACTGGCAACTTGCTTAATTGATTCACGACCCTAAATTTGCAATTTAAATTCCTTCAGACGGAGAGTTCTATAGATATATATTTAAAAGAGATGTGATTTATAGGACAACGATATTTAGAAGTCTTTAAACTCAAACTTGAATTTTGTAAAGCTTGCACTAAATATTTGAAATACCAGACATCTAAATTTGTTTTCACACTAGCGTACATGGGTTGAGGTACAGAGCAATCTTTTAAAAATTCCCTAAGGACTTTCTAGTACAAGTAAACAGTGTAAACTAAACTCTTATGATAATTCCATTTAATGTTGGTATAGATATATTACGCTTGCGAACTGTTACTCACCTCCTGTTTATCCTTCTCCTTGCGAGCACACTCCTCCGCCTTTCTGCGCCTCCACATCCGAAGACTCTCTTCCGCATTTTTGCGTTCTACAAGCCGCTTCTTCTCGTCGCACCACATCAAAGGATGCTGAATGTGGTCGTGGCAGAAGTTGCCACCCAATCCCATCTCATCGCTGGTCGTCATTGCTATATATGCTATAGCATATATTTCTGCTAAAAATTAAGTTAACTGGGGGAACGGAAGTAGCGCTGCGTTCAGCAAACGCCGCGTTACTGAATCGGTCTCGTTTCCTGGCCAAACCGTTTAACCGCCGAATTGGCTGCCAGGATCCGTGCCAGGCACTAAAGGAAACACGGATGATGGGTCGGTTGTCTAGGCAGCACGCCCGACTATTTATAGCCTAGGTTAAGGCATACTTGGGCAACCAACCGTCTGTCCTTGAAGACAAGTCGAAGGATATCGAAACCTCAGCTAAGCTGGTTTGGTTTGATTTAAATATTTTGCCAGTTAGACACGCTGTTTGCCTGCTCCACTTAGCCAAAACGTCTGCCTGGACATAAAATATATATTTACTTTATATTGCCTAGAAAATTGTGCCATGGCTGCCTTTACTTAACCCTATTCGTGATGTTTTGTTTTAATAAAGTTAAGAAAAGTTAAGTCTGCTGCAGAATTGCGTGCAATTTAATCCGAAACTTGTTGATGTGGTTTAAAACTGGAAAGCTCTTGAAAGTCTAAGTTACTCATACGCCCCATGTTGCAGAAACCCAACATACACACTACCAAAATTTATTTGTTTGCTCCAATTTCGATATCAGCCATGCCCGTCGCAACATAAAGCACTTTGGCCATGTCCAAAACTATTTCACTAGGTCGTCATGGTTCTTTGTTGTCCTTGTGGTTACAGGCAATTCTCTGCTTTAAAGGATATGGGAAATTGTTTAATACCGTAGCAACGAAAATTAAGATCCAAACATGGAGAGGCATATCTTGTTGATCTCGTATGAAAAATATAAATCGATTTTCGGGATTTGTGTTTTTAGCTCATCTGTTAAATATATATCGCTATTAAAAACTGTAAAAATTGGGTATAAATGTAATCTATTAAAAATCTTTTAAAAATTATTGGACATCTATAGATTATCAGTTACAAAAATGTCAGTGTTTTTTTCTGAAGTTAACATTTCTAAAACTAAAAAATAAAAAAAAACACATTTTGGCAGTGTTTTTAAATATTTTACTATTTTGTATTATTTACCATTACCTTAATTTAATAAACCTTTACTGCACTATATTTGTTTTACACAATCGAATTTTTATTCATTTCTTTAAGTATACAAATATCGTAATTACAAGTATCAATATCAACATATTTATCAACTTTTTTGTCGTTCGCACTCTATAACCTGCGGCTAAAGTGCAATCAGCACTTGAATCACCATTTGAATTGATTAAGTGTCCAAAATTGTGTAGTTCTTTTTCTCAGTGTAGAGCCGGCTGTAAAGGAGCCCAATGGTGTTTCGTCAAAACTATACACAAAAACAAAAAACTCGCTGACTGACTTAATTGAGGTTGTGCTTATAAATTTAAATAAGATCTTAAATTAAATAGATAGATTTTAGGGCATTCCGAAATGGGGGTTTGCTTTCCGATTTTGTGTTAAATGTCTTATAAATTACTATTGCATTAGAGGCGGAAAAGAAATGATTTAAAATTAAGACTGGGCAGCATTGTTTCACGTACAATCCTCATAAAATTCCTTATAAAACATATTGTAATGTGCATTTCATGCGCGAATGGTTCAAAATATTTTATTTTATCCAGCTAAGTTGTCCAATTTTAATTACATATATGTGCTGTCGGAAGGTGTTTTGAAAAGTGCAATCATTTACCATTGAACCATTTAGGCATGAAATACCTTAAATAAGAAAATAATATAAACTAAACGTTTTATGTTCTTCATGCTTGTTATTATAAATATCGTTTTACACACTGGTTTTCTTTGTTGCATTGACTAATAAACATTTTTCCTCATTATCTTGTATGCTTATTTCCGAGTTTCGTTTTAATTTCTTTTATTTTGAAGAAATATTTGTACAATTTTCTCGTTTACTTATTGTTGGCTTTCTTGCTCAATTTCGCGCTTTATGTATAAATACATTTTTCAGAAAAAACTTTGCATATAAAATTTGTTTAAAATTCATTGAACATCTCGTATTTATGTACAGTGAACGTTGCCGTTAATTAGGTTTGTTTATGCAATTATTTACAGTGTCAACAACAAATGCCTAAAAACTAAATAATAAATCTTGTTTACAAATTTAGTCCGCTGGCTGAACAGAACTTAACCGAAACATCAAGTGTGTGGCCTACATAACACTATTGTTATTGTTGCATTAAGTGTACCTGTATTATTTATGTTATTATGTTAGCTCTACTTCATGCGGTTGATGACTAAATCGGCGACCACCTGAAGGCCCTTCTGGTAGGGCGATTCCGTGAGTTCCTGGGCCAGCCGTATCGCCTCGTTGCAGTGCTTCTTGGCCAGGAATCGGGTCTGCTCCAGACCGTGTGACTTGTGCACCAGCTCGAAGGCACGCTCCACGTCGCCGGGCTCGCTGAAGCGCCGCATCACCATGGGATTCAGCTCGGGGTACTGCAACAAAAGTAAGGAAAAGTAGTTTTAAATTATGCAAGTTTTGCAGCCAAGGCACAGCTTTAAACGCACTGCACGCGTGCACAGCTCGCGGAATGCATAGCAAATGGGCATTGGTAATCGCTGGCAATTGAGTTACAGACACTTTGGATCTTCATCTGTGCATCTAGCCAACCACCCACCCACATGACATCATCACACCTTCACCGCCGACACCATGAATACATCATCATTGCGACGGCGGGCAGGTTACTTTGGATGCAAAGCGACCAGATATCTGGACAAAGAGAACAACTTTATCTAGCAATTCTGTACACAGCGAAAAAATACCAGCAAATTTGTTGTGTGCATTAGACTTCTCAAGAGGTATAAATAACTTTCTAAAAGTACAAAATATAATTTTAGATCGCGAATTCTTGAGCTATAGAGCTTTGTAAAAACCTTTAACTATTGGCAAGCCAATGAGGAAATATCACGAGAATTCCCAGATTCCCAGACTCACCTTTTCGCATGCAAAGAGAACGGGGGCGGTGGCCAAGCCCAGTTTCAGATCCGCCGCCGTCGGCTTGCCCATCTGCTCGGTGGATGAGACAAAGTCCAGCATGTCGTCGACAAGCTGAAAGGCCAAACCGATGTTACGCCCGTACTGGAAGGCCACCTCGGCAACGTTGTCGTCGGCCTGGGCAATCACGGCGGTCTGAGCATGAGCAGCAGGAGAAATTGAAATTATAAATATCGAGGATAAACAGAGGGTTCAAAGTCAGTCGGGGATTGGGAACAATGACGCGAGACTGCGTGCAAACTAATTGCCGAATTAAGTCCGCTGTATAAGTGCCATCTTCATTGGGGCTGTTGCATGATGATAATGAATACTCACCGCTTTCAGTGCATTGGCGATCAGCGAAGCGGTCTTCCTGTATGTCTTGGTCAGATAATGGGCGAATCGCTCGTTTTCCGTTTCCCTTGAGCCCAGCTGCATAAACTCGCCTTGGACCAAATCGGTCAAGATCTGCAAAAGATTACGTACAAAGCGTCATAAATATATATGTCACTGTAAGCTGTTAAGGTTTATGGTAATGGCTTCAATTGTTCTCGGCTTCCACGCAAGTAAAAAAAAATCAAATGAACATGATATAACGTTCCCAGGTTCACAGATTTAAATCAAGAAGAAACGCTATGGTCGATTGCACCGTCTATAGATACCTATTACTCAGAATACTAATTTTAAAGTAAATATGCCACAGAAAATATTTTATTTAAAAGTGGCGTCGTCTGCCGTCAACACTACAAGCGCGGTCTTTCAAAATATGAGCTCCGTTCTTCAAATATGACTTCATAATTAAAATTTCTTTATAACTTCTAAATTAACGGTTCGAATTGAAAAGTTTTTAGTGTGCCGATAGATATTATGAATAGTTCTCGACGAGATCTTAACGTGTACACAGACAACGAGTACAATATACCCTTTTACTCTTCTATAGATCATATATTTGTATACATTTTTACCAGTGTATAAGCACATTGATACGCTCGTGTGTATGTAACTTCCGCTTGGCTGAAACCTCAAATGCAAATGGCAAACACAATTGTGCCAAATAAATCTAGCAAACAAAATTTCATTCAGATCTCTATAAGAAGTCGAATATTTGGCTATCGCCACTTCTGTTTGCTCACCCATTGTTAGGCACGCCCTTCGATTCGCCTTCAAAATAGGCATTTTCATTGATTCGGCCAAAAAACTCACAGGCAGTTGTCAAAATCTTCAGCAAATAGTAGTGGGCGCTTGAAAATGGCGGCTGAGTCCAACAAGGAGCTCAAGGTGATTCGGCCATAGCTGGCCAAAAAGCCAGGCCAAATTCCTCTGACCACTGCTGGACTTTCAATGTTAATTAACACTGACAAAAAGCCAAACTACAAGTGCGTAAGCTCTAAACACTTGCCCAAGCTAACAAGTGCATTTGGAGCCATAAAAATTAACACAATGACGCCTTTTAAGCAGCTAAATGAGACCAAACACTGCAGGCCGCGAAATCGAGTGCATTTTGTGAAAAAATGTTTTGGATTAGCCTCGGAACCACTTTGCGAGATATGGGCATTTTCTTTTTGAGTTTTAAACTTCCTTCTTATGCTTACAGAGTTATACGATGTTTTAATTAAATTCCAAATTCAATTGTATAATAATCTGTCTGGGCTTTTCCAAGGGCGTAAAAAGTCTTAACTGTCTGGTTTAGCCCAAAACTCACAGATCGTCATAAATTTACTTGATTGAATGGCAGGCGGACATTCTACCCATTTTATTAATGCCATTCAACGTCTTAGATGCCGTTTTTTTATTCAGACACGTGCACAGCATATTTAATATGATAAATCTAACGAATATATGCCGAAGATTGTAGATTGTCGCAGGTGAAAGAAACAAGCTAAAGTCTGGTATAAACAAAAGTCAAAATAAGTCCAAAGAATACAGAGATGTGGTTAAATATATTCTGATTTCTTTTGTGCGAATTTATTTAAAATTTTCACAAATTACAGGGATAAACTAAGAAATAACCACTATCGTCGATTTAAATTTAACTACTACAAACGTTTTAAGACTGTCAGTTTTGATTTTGAGGAATGTC